TATTTAACATCCATATAAACGGGATCGCTGATGCGTGCAAGGACAGTGAGGCGGCGTTGTACGCAGACGATACAGAAATCCATGCGAGCTCGAAAGACATTGACGTGGCGGAACAACGGGTCAACCAAGATCTTGAAAATATCGTAATGTGGTGGAATCAGAACGGCCTAATCAGTAATCACAAGAAGTGTGAGGCAATGCTGATTGGATCGAGGTACACTGTCAAGAATACCAGAGAGTTACAGATTATACTTGATGGAAACCCAATGAAACAGTCAGAATATTATAAGCACCTAGGTGTTTATATAGATAACTGTCTGACATGGAATAAACATATCACGTATATAAAATCAAGAGTTTATCCAAAACTTAAACTGCTTAACAGAATTTCACATTTTCTTAGCCGCAATGTTTTGCTAAAGATCTACAAGCAAACTGTGCTTCCCCTGTTAGATTACGGATGCGTCGTGTGGGCTGAATGCGGAAAGAGAAACGTCCAACGCTTAGAACGACTACAAAATCAAGCGATGCGGATAGTGTTACACGCGAACCGTAAGACATGTACTCAGGAGATGCGTGCTAAATTACACCTTTTGTCACTGTACGGAAGACGTCGTCTTATAAGATTGCAATACGTTTATAAGATCGTAAACAACATAAACTGCCCGAAGCAGTTGATAGGCTATCTAGTAAGACGATCACAAATGCACTGTCGATCTCTTAGAGATCCAACATTGCTAGATTTACCGCCAGTAAGAACTAGATGTGGCGAGACCTCATTCAGATTCTCGGCTGCCAAAGATTGGAATTCTCTACCGACAGAAATACGAGAATTAAAAACCCTTGTGCGGTTCAAGAATGAAGTGTTTAAACACTTGATAAACATGGATGCTGTTACGCACAATTGTAGTTTGTAATTTTAGACATCTTAAGGCCTGTTGACACTTGCAATTTTTGCTGCGATTTTGGGTGCGGTCTTTTTCTCTTGGTGGGTGTGAGGGGGTGGATGAGTTGTGAATGCTTAGATGAAGGTACATGTACTCAGAACATTCATTGCTCATCTGCTCGTTCGCATGCATCGGAGGAGGAGTGTCGCGCCTGGAATCGCAGCGGAGGTTGCAGGTGTAAACAGTGTTTACATTATATAGCCTTATTTATGCACTGTTACGCACTTATGTTATTGTATATATACTTGTTATACACTGATCACCGATTGATACCAGCCAATCTATGTAATTGACTGAACGGTCTTTTTTATCAGTATAAATAAAGATTTTATTATTATTATTATTATTATGAAGCTAGAAAACTCAACGTTGACTGTTATTATTAAAGAATCTAAATAGTATAAGCTACTGAAAAAAAAAATGCTGCGAAAGAGAGAGTGGCAAAAAATATCGTACATGGTGATGGGATAGGAAAAAAATCTTGCACATAACGCGGATCCCAGAAAAAAAATTCCCTTCCAGCAGTAAATC